CCCGGGTGGGGAGCTGCAGCGCGGGGCGTGTGAGTGATCTCGCTCTGGGAGGAAGGGAGCCGTCCAGGGCGTTGCCGCGCCGGGTTTCTTGTGAGCACAAAAACATCTTCCAAAGCCAGGCCCCGGGTTCCACGGGGCTTGGAGTTCTGCCTGAGGCCGGGCCGCTGCTGGGGGAAGAGGAAGGGCCTGGCTGGGGCGGATGCAGGCTAGGCCGGCCTCGGCCTGAGCCCGGCTGTCACTGGCCGCCAGGGTCACTCTGGGTGAGCTGGGTCCTCCCTCCTGGACTCTCAGCTTGGAGAACAATGCGGAGCCCTTGCCCCTGCCTGCAGGGCCCTGCGGGTCTGTCCTCCCCATCTGGGCTGACCTCATCCCGGGCCCCCTCCCTCCCCCCTTCCCTGGACTCCGGCCGATCAGCCAGGGCTTCGCCCTCCGCAGGTCGGCCTCACTCTGAGCCATTGCTGAGCACTGGCTGTTCCCTCCACTTGGAATGCCCTTCCCTTCCTTGAGGTCTCTCCTGGGAGGGGCCTGCCCTGACCGCTCTGCCTGAAGTGTCCCCGTCACGCCCTGTCAGAGCACCCTTCACATCTCCGTTCTTGTTGGTTAAAGCATTTATTACCTGTCCCCTCCGTGAGGACATAAATCTCTCCACTGATGGGCCTCGCCCCTCTGCTCCACTCCTGTTTCCCCGGCACCGTCCATGGTGCCTGGCACCGGTGGGCACTGAATATCGTTGGCAGACAAGGAAGGATGTAGTATGGTCACAGACCAGGGGAGCAGCAGCTAGAGGCGGTGCGGGACCCTGGATGGGACCCGAGGCCAGAAAAGGATGTTCGCGAAGGGCTGGTGACACCCTAGTGAAGCTGTGGCTACCGATCGTGTTGCACCCAGGCTCACGTCTTCGCTTTCAGAGCCTTTCCGAAAAGTGATTCTGTCAGATGGGAGCCCTGGGGAAGCTGGGTGAGGGGGATGGGGCTGTCCGTCCTTTTTTCGTTCTCTCCTGTAAGACTCATGACACCGCCAGGAGGGTGACGTGAGAGGAAGGGGACAGATAAAGGGCAGAGGAGAAAGCGGCGAGTGGAGACTTTGTTATGACATCGAGGCCACGCGAAGGAGCATGTGTTTGGACAAAGGCTGCTGATGGTGACGGGAGGCACCTTGCAGCTATAAAATCCTGTTTCTGTGAAGAATTTTCAGCAGCTGGTGGGCTGGCTGGCCTGACGCGGCTCTTCCTTCCGAGACGTGGTCCTCGCCTCCTGAGCTCTGCCCCTGGGAGGGTCCCTCTGTGGCGCCCACCGATGCCGGGCTGTGCAGAGCTGTCCAGGCGTCCCCAGCCCAGCGCCCTCAGCAGCGTTTACAAATGTCAACCCTTCCCCTTCCTCCCCCCCCCCCCCCC